AAACCCCCCCCCAAAAATGAATCTTGTATACGGCCATGTATACAGTGGATTTGGCAAGTGATTACTATTGTTTGGACAACAGAGAAACTTCCAGTGGATTGGAAGGTGGCGGTAGTATGCCCAATTCACAAAAAAGGAGATCAGCAAGATTGTAACAACTACCGCGGAATATCCTTGCTCAATGTAGCGTATAAAATATTCTCGAATTGTGTTTTAGACAGAATAGAAGAAAAAGCAGATCAAATAATAGGACACTATCAAGGAGGGTTTAGAGCTGACAGGTCCACGACGGACCAGATGTTCATAATTAGACAATTAGATCAAAAATCTTGGGAGTTTGATAAAGAGATTCATAAACTTTTCGTGGACTTCAAGAAAGCGTATGATAATATTCATAGAGAGAGTTTACTGAATATTATGAAAGAATTTCATTTTCCACAAAATCTGGTCAATTTAGTAGCAATAAGTGTTATGGAGACATTGATAAGGGTTCAGGTGGGAAATTCAATAACTGAACCGGCTGCAGTGAACTCGGGGCTAAGACAGGGCGATTCACTATCGCCGATTCTGTTCAACGTAGTATTGGAAAAGGTAATTAGAGAAATGAAAATTGGGCCTAACGAGGGTATTAGACTACAAGACACGTCGATAGGCATACTTGCTTATGCTGATGATATAGTATTGATGGAAGAGTCTCAGGATAGGTTGAAGAGTTTATTCAGTAGGTTGCATAATGCAGCGTCAAAAGTAGGACTATGTGTAAATGAAGGAAAAACGGAATATATGTTTTTGAGTAGAAGGGAACTACCTTTCTGTCAATTCATAAGAGTGGATAACTACGAATTTAAAAGGGTAGAATAGTTCAAATATCTAGGTTCTATTTTGACCGAAAAAAATAATGTAGCAAACGAGGTAGCAGCAAGAATTCAAGCTGGGAATAGATGCTATTATGTTCTGACTAAGGTACTAAGCTCACGAACAGTATCGCGAAGAATGAAGTAACGATTATATACGTCCTTAATACGACCGGTTGTATTGTATGGATCGGAAACATGGCCAAATAGAAAAATGGACGGGCATAGGCTCATTGAAAGAAAAGTGTTGCGGAAAATATATGGCCCGGTCAAAGACGAAATAACTGGGGAGTGGATACGAAGAAAGAACATAGAGCTGGAAATACTGTATGGTAGCGCGGACATATTGGAGGTCATCAGAAGCAGAAGACTACGGTGGGCTGGCCACGCTTGGAGGAGCCAAAATCCACTTTTACATGCAGTGATTGAACAAAACCCTGTAGGTAAAAGGCCTCTGCGAAGACCAAGAATGCGATGGGAAGATGTTGTAAAGAAGGACGTTGAGCAGTTGGGAGGTTGTTCCAATTGGAGAAATCTAGCATTGGATAGAGACGGGATGGTCTTAAAGGCCCAATAAACCCCTAAAAAAAAAAAACATCAGCAAAACTTGTACAAATTCTCAATGAACGAGTGAAAGATCCTTCGAGTAGAAAATTAATTGCCTCTATAATTGAAAATAGCATTTATCTGAAAGTAAGTTATTTTAGAAACACTTTGTGTCTATGTTAAACCGGGGCGTTATTTCTGTATAATATTGTATTTATACAGCAATACATAAATACCTTACTTCTATAATAGGTAACTCTAACTTAAACAATTAATTATTATTTTTCAGATTCCAGAAATTCTGTTGTATTTTATGTTTTGCATGCCATGTTAGTGCCAACATCAAAAACATCATACATTGACTCTGAAGGAAAAAGATGTGTTATCAAATATTCAATATCAGATTCCAAACAGAGCTATGTCTTGATAGCCCAAACATCAGTTGAACTTGAAGCACTTTTAAACTCAAAAAAAGGCAATGGCAATAGTATTCAACCCTGTCTTTTGATTGTTGGCACTATATCAGAACCTAGTCAAATAATGGTCTATTTTGATAATATTAAGTACAAAGTATTTTCTATTGTAAAAGCTATAGATATTAGATATATGTTTTAAGATATTCCATGTTTTTAATTTAGAATATCCCATACACTATACAGTCCTTGAATGTCTGATTATTCATCCAAAAGTTTTACTTTAACATTGTATCAAAATATGATAAGCCCTGTCCTTTTGTAAACCAAATAATATCTGAATTGAAGTAGGTAGGTATTTATTCTAATACTTAAATGGTAAACTGTAATTACATACTATTCAAAAAGCCACCTTTAAAATTAAATATTTATAAATTTTTTCAAGTAAAATGTAATTTTTATCTTTATATTTAGCAGTTATATCATTATATAAGTTTATTCCCTATATTATTATAATATTATAATACAAAATAATATGGTTTTGTAATTTTTATTTCAGTTACATTTAATTGTTTGTATTACCAATAAGAGCTAATATACTTTAAAATATTTATGTACCTTAATAAATTTAAACTAGGTATTATTATTAACTATTACATATTGTATTTTTATTATTTTTTTCCTGTTCGGGGAGTAAATTAAGTTCTCAGTTTTTAATTATTTACATTATTAAAAGTTAATTATATTATTATTATTATATAAGATTATGTAACTTTGATGTTGGATGCATGTAATTTTATATACCTATTGGTTATAAAAACTATTATACCTACTACATTTTTAGTATAAAATTTTTTAATATTAATTGTAATGAATTATTTATTTGATATGAATCCATGTGTTGCTGTTTGAAATACATTATTTTAATATTATTAATAATTTAAGTATGTATTGATCTATACGACAAAATCAATAAAATGCAAATTTGGAAAACCTGAGCATATTGTGAAATCCATTATATTTCATAATATAGTTTAAACAGATTAATTTGTTAAATTGATTCATATGGTTTATTAATTCAAACATTACTTATGCAGAATTAAAAAATCAATTATTCAAGTAAAAATACACCCAGTGCTAAAGATAATAAATTTAACAAATTCTTTATTAAATTGAATTATATAGCTTATCAATTCAATCATTACCTAGGTAGAATTAATACAATTATTTATTTAATTAAAAGAAAAACGGCTTAAAAAGTTTCTAAAAATTAATAATTATATTTTATTAATTTAACTAAAAACCTCATCGAATTAACAGAGTCTGATAATTTATTGATTAACAAAATTTTAATTTTGAAATTAACAATCCTCTCTGTTGGCCCTATGTTAACAATCATCTTGTTATTTTAACGTCAATTTTCATTAATTTCATAGATGTTTATCGTTCTGTGTAACACACGCAACGAGTCGCGCCCGACGAATCGCTCACCAGAATCACACACGGTATGATGCGTCCAGCGTTGGGAGAAATGTCAATTCGACTGCCCGTGCAAAAGAGGTTTCGTATTGCTGTTGTGGGTTTCAGAGACGTCGTATGACGCGCGACACAAAAACTACGCACACCACAACAGCTTACGGCAGACTCACTCGTTGTCGCGTACACAGGTTTGACCAGCAAAAGGCCGGCCGGTGATAACGGACAATGCGCCGCAATTATCGATAATGAGCGATATTGGCAAATCCTAGAATATTCCTCGTTTGCCACGCGCTCATGCGGACCGGTTCGAGGAAAAAAGGCGGAGGTTTGAACAATAATAAATCAACAAAACGAGGACAATATATAAATAATTATATAAATATGTATATATATACATTTTAAATCGTTTTACAACAAACAACCGTGTTTGCATACCAAACTGAGTAAAATATACAGTTCGGATACGTAAGGTAATGCTGTTCAAGTTATCATTACACACAATTCATATGAGTTTAGTCGGTTAAGCAATGTTTAATACAATATTTGGTATAGTGGAAAAACAGCTAAGTGTGGTAGATTTGACATCAATAGGTATGTAGTGGTCCAGCCCACAGATCGTGGTGTACAAGATGAAAGATGATGAGGTGTAAATAATTCTAAGTCAATTTTAGATTATTACGAACATAGACTTTATTTTAAGATGTAAAACTGATAGAATATTTTTAGTACACTGAAATTTATCAGAGAGTCGACTGGCGTGAAGGTGCTCGTACTGGCTCTAGTGGATCACGTCTGAATATCGGGTGGATGGGTCCTTGTTTTATAGGCCTACTCTTCACTCTTCTCCTAGCGATAAGATATAGCGCTGACCCCGTTTACTATTGCACGTGTGCGTGGGTTTCCAGGAAACGGTCGCCCGGTCGTGTCGGTCGAGAGATTAGAGTAAAGATAAAGTAATATTATATTTAACATTTATGTCCATATATCTATGGAAAAATAAAAATAAAAATAAACATAGTTCATGTTTTAACTCTTTTCATTTATATTCTCGCAACGCACTTTCGGATTCTCAGAACTACGCCCCTGATTTCTTATTGCGTCGTTATTCTTAAATCCCCGAGGTCGACAACTTCCCAGTGTGAATAATCTCATATTATGTCCCCCTCGCTATTTAAGCCCTTAAAATATATGCGTATATGGCGGGACGTCAGTACATAGCACCTCACCCCTAAAAATAAAGATTTATGTCTTTAAAAAAACAGAAATCTTTAAAACATCAATACATTATAAAATTGTTTACAATTTCAATTTACAAGTCAACTGACTTGTTTACAATACAGGTATTATATGCTTACATTTTATAATTTTAATATTGATTACAATTTATTATAGAATATGTTATATTATGCGTATCGCATTTACAAAGTTAACATGGTTTACATTGGTGATTATAATATGTTAGTAGTTTTACAATATGTGTTGTTTTATTATACAATAAAATAATTTGTTACTAGTATAGTTCTCACATTATAATAAAAATTAAGATAATAAAATTAAGATCATCACTATTTTTTATTTCACTAATTTTTTTTTTATAAATTTAATAGCCCTAGCAGTAGCAATTGGGTAATTTAAGTGAATTGTTTTGAATCTCGGGTCTAATATGGTGGCCACAGTAAGCAACCCAATGTCCTCCATCCTACTAAATCTAATATCTAGATTCTCTAACATGGCCATTTTTTAAAGATAAAGCGATTGGATTTAAAAGAAAAATACCTTCAGTTTTTTTTATAAGACAATTTATTAAAGGTATTACCTTGCTGCATGTTACATATTTCTGGCCACACAGCTCTTTTGTTGCCACTTTCATTGGCCTTAACACTAATACAATTTCTTTTGCTAAATCAATTTCTTCTGCAGTTAACATTATAGGGCCCCCACGTATATTTATTAAAACAGAGGCTATATGATTTGAACACGAAATAAATCTATCAATCATATAGTATATAGAATTCCAACGTGTTGGTACGGACTGCTTCAGCTTAAGATTACACAATTTCTTAAGTTCATCACAAGCAACTACTGAATGTTTAAAATAAGTAACAACAAACTTTATTTTGTTGATAACTTGTTGTACATCAGCAAGATTTCCCAACGTTCGTCCAGACACTAAATTTAACGTGTGTGCAAAACACGGAAAATGCTTTTCTGGAGTAAACGTTTTTTTAACTGCACCCAAAATATTTGACCCATTATCAGTTACTACTGTGAAAACCTGAGTTTTATTTATACCCCAGTCTGCAAGAAGTTGTTCAAACCAAATTGAAATATTTTCAGAGGGATGGTTGGTAGAAAGTTCTAGTACGCCTATTGTGATACTGTCTAGGGCAACTTTAGATGAATCAAAATAATGAACAGTAATGCCCAGAAAACTTTTTGTGTTGATTGTATCAGTCCAGATGTCTGATGTTAATGTTAAATAATCAATCACACTGATTTTGGATTTAATTAAATTTGATAACACTTCATATTTACTTTTAATTAAGTTAGTTGTTGTATTCCTGGAAGGAAGTTTATACATGGGCTCTGCTTTTCGCATAAAATATTTAAATCCTTCTTTTTCGGTGGTTGATAATGGCATATTGTCTTTTGCTATCATGTATGTCAGCGCATTAGTTATCGAGCGTGTCTTATGTCCAAATCCTAAAATAATTTGGACAATTTGTTATAATTTTTAAGTTACGAATTAAAAAATTAACTCATACTGTCATATGATTTTATGTCCAAAAACGACTCGAACATGGTTTTTTGCCTTAAGCACATAGACTGTGTATTTGATGAAACACTTGTGGATGTAGCTGTAGGTGTTGATGCACGGGATCCGCTGAATGAACCAAATGAATCTTCCTCGATGCCCGAACGTGGACTCGTTTCAACAGCAACAAAATTTAACGTGGTCTGTGTTTCATGAGACTATATTTAAAAAAAAAGAAATTGGTTTAAGCACATTATTAATAACTATTGAACGTTTTAGTATTTTACCTTATTTACAACAAAATCAGGTTCATCTGGATCGTCAACATCTTAAGAGGACGCCACACACCCGAAATATTTTACCGAAAACACGTTTCGCGCGGGATCAGTGTTTGAAGCGTGTGGTAATAGTATGAACACCAAATGTTCACACTATATAGATCAGAAGTTTATCTGTGTCATAGCGTCGTTTTTTTTAAAAAAAACTTAACTCAATATTTTTAAATTTAATTTTGAAAAACATAAAAAAAACAAATTTTCAAAACCTTTTTAAGGTAGAACTAATTAAGATATCGGGGAAAAAACGACGCTATGACACAGATAAACTTCTGATCTATACAGTGTGAAAATTTGGTGTTCATACTATTACCACACGTCTCAAACACTGATCCCGCGTGAAATGTGTTTTCTTTGAACATTTTATAAAACCGTAGTTTTCGTCGTCTACAGCAGTGCTGCAACAACCCGTGGCGTTTCTGTGAACAAGATTTTTCCCCCACTATACATACATGAACATATCGTTATCGGTCCGGTGCCCGACGTCTGGGCTTCCGTCGTCGATTCTAAGAATACCCAGAATAATAATAATAATAACAGAATTATTGATATAGACAAATTCTATAAACGATTATTATAGTGTTTGATATTATAAAATATAAATCAGATAATCAATTAAACTGTTGTCCAGTCTGTATCGTAACTCGTAAGTATTGAGGTCTGTGAATTTGTGATTTTGATTTGTAAAAAGTTTGTAAAAGTGTTTTTCAAGAGACAAGAACTTTATTATAATATTTGCGATGTCTCCCAAAAAAAATAGAACTACTAAAAGATATATGGGAAGAGTAACTTTAAGTACTCGTATGAAAAAAGTTCGTAGGGGCAATCAACAAAACCTACAGTAAGTATATATAATATTATAAATTATAATATAATATATTATAGTATATACTAGGTATACCAATCATAAATATTTAATGTATTAAAAAAAAAAATAATGATTTATTTTATGTAAAATTAAGTAGGTATAGTAATTAGTAAATAATGATTGTAAATGGCAAGTAGGGCTGGAGCCTGGAGTGAACCTCAGTCATAATATAGTAAATCAGTATAATGGATGTGTTCAATTTGAATGCAATATTTCCTATCATTTGTATAATATTATGAAAAACTATTTTGAATGGAGACCATTGTCCATTTGTCAGTCTAGGACAGAGATATTCAAACTTTATCATCGCGCAGCTCCTATGTGTTTAGAATATTTTTACGGCTCCCAAATTATTGTAAAAAAATTGAAACGATACGGATACAATAATATTATAGCCAATATGAGTGATAATAACAGTAACTTTAGTATAAGAAATAAAACTTTAANTCAAGTTATGGGACAAATGCGAATAACAGATCGCAAACTGTGTTATTTTGTAGTATATACTCCTAATTGGACAAGTATACAGGAAATTAAATATGACGAAATATTTTGGAACACAAAAATGGCCGAAAAACTTAAAAGGTAAAAATAAATTTAAATATTTATTAATTTTATTAGTAGGTAACATAGTTATTAATTAGATTACAAAATATTGTAAAATTATTTTTTTTTAGGTTTTATATGGAGTGTTTACTACCAGAAATTGTCGACCCGCTTTATGGTAGACGCTTCGAAATCACGGATATTAGAGAACCCGAATATATAAAGGAGGCACAAAGAAAAAAATTAAAATAAGTAATAATAATACCTAGGTATACCTGTATGCAATACGCAGTACGCGTATCAAATTATATTAAAGTTCATAATATTATTATAATGTTGTTTTTATATTTCAAATAACGTCAAGTGTTACTGCTGGGTCAAGCATCAAGCATTCATTGCCCATTTTTAATTTGTAAAAATATTGACAAAATACGTAAAAATGCCGAAAATTTCTAAGATTTCTAAGTTTTAGCTTTTTACGGAAAAATTCAAATTTCAATTTTTTGTAGTCTTTTTTTCTATTAATATCAATACAATTTTATGTGTTGGGCCAAAAAGCGTGAAAATGTAATACAAGGCTCCTGATATATTTTTACAATAGCAGTTGACAAATATTATAAATACATAGGCACAATTAGTTTTTTCTAGTGTTTGAGCTTCGAAGTTCAAATATTGGCAAAATTTGTCAAATTCACGAATATTTGGAAATTATTTTGTAGTAAAAATGTAGGAAAAAGTTCATATCTATAGCTAAGATTTGAAAATTGAATAGGTACAAGAAGATTGTCCATAAATTCTGTTTACAATAATAATTACTAAAAAATACGAGGGTAATACCATTTAAAAATGTTACGAATGGCTGAAGTTTTATTTTCACGAAATCAAAAATACAATTTTGAATTTTGTTATAATTAAAATAATAGGTAAGTACCTACCTATACTAGTTGTAGAAGCTTAAAACTTTTACCAAATGCTAAAATTTGTATTTTGTTTTAAATAATTTAAATACTAATAACGCAATAAAAGTTATGCTATTTTATAATTCACACTACAAATTGGACAAATATCCAATATATTCAATTAAATATTACCTTATTTACTTACTAAAAAGGTTACTGTTATAAATTAGATATTATTTACTGTATTAGTAGGTATATTGTATATATTTATTATTGAGTAAGTATCTAAAAATGCAATAAATACAGGTCGCGTAAGTACGCGCGATTATTAAAAATATTACGGCGGCAATGCGGCATAATGTACGTGTAACGTGTACCTATGCATTTTATATTTACGCGATCCTCCACAGACGAAGGTTAAGAATATAATAATCACCGCTCTGAATGAGCACAATCGTCGGCCGGCCGCCGACGACGAGTGGTGGGCGGGGCTTAAACGTCGCGTGCTTGCGCATCGCGAAAACACCTAACAGCGCGTTCTCTCGGTCATTGTATACGTTTCGCTTTCGGTGTGGCGTCCTCTTAATTATGAGTCGAACTGCTTGATGCCATTGATGTTCGGCAAACTTCAGTCTTAGTAGTCTTACTACTAACAGCAACATTAGCGACTGAATGATTTCGTTTTATGTGGTTCCTTATGTTGGTGGTATTACCACATGGTCTAACTGGAGCTTCACATAGTTTGCAGGTAACAACTTCCGGATCAGGTGTATTTTTGAAATAACTGCAAATGGAACTTCGTTTTGAATTTGATTTGTTGGACATGATAAATGCGAAACGCACGTTGCAAACAGCGGCGTGTTGTATTTTATATTATACTTATTGAAATACACAAAAATGTTTACGATCGATAAAGCAAGTTATAACACAAGCCACAAGGTACTAACAGAAAACGGATGTAATAAGATGAAAAAAGTCTAATATGTTAGCATTTCAAAATGTCAGACTCGGATGTACGAAGAACGAACAATACAAATTACAATCAGTACCTACAAAGACGAACGCTTCGAACAATACGAACTACAAATACGAATTACGAAATAACGATTAACGAAATTACAAAAATACGAAGTACGAATTAAGAATAACGACGATTCACAGGATATCCGGCCTCGGGATTATTCAGTGTGGCCAACATCTCGGTCCAAATAAGCACTGTGGCTGGGACTCGGCATTCGGCTGTAAACCAGCAACAATAAACCGGGAAAACAATTTTAAAAAAATTGCCGATTCTTATCAAATTTAATCGAATCGAATCGAATCGGTGCATCCCAGAATCGGTCCGAAAAATCGATTTTTTCCGCACATCACTAGTTCACTCTTAGGCTACGGCTACATTGGAATCGTTTCCGATCCGATCCGATCCGATCCGACCAACATCCTACTCGTCCGATGTTTGTGGCTACATCATATCCGATTTTGTACCGACTAAAATCAAATATTATATTGTCATCAGGTCATCTGCTGCGACTTTTATTTTATTTGCACGTACCTTCTCTTACAGTTAACACGTGTTTTGGTGTTGTTTCAACTTAAAATTTTTAGACAATATGTTTTCAAGTTCCAGCAGTTCAGGCTCAGAAGACGAATGGAATGATTTATTGAATAGTAGTTATAATTTGTACTTAAATAGTCCAAGGTCTTGCTGGGTGCACGATTTATTGACAGATTATAAAAATGGAGAATATTTTCAAACATGTATTAAACTTCGAGAATATCCGGAAAAATTTAAAGAATATTTTCGAATGAGCATACATACGTATGATTACATATTGGATAATATTTCAAATGATATAAAAAAATATAGTAATTTTCGTGAGTGTATTCAACCAGATGAAAAACTTGCAATAACAATAAGTTAAGTACAAATTTCAACATTAAAACTCTTAAATTTATTATTTAAATAAAAATAATAACATCTGTTCATTTTTAAAAAACAAATTTTTTCTCCTTTTAAAATAACTCAAAACCAAAAAAAAAAGTAATTTAAAAAATAAAAATTAATTATTTTGAAATGATTGACTTTGCATTGTGTCTATATCAGTATAATTGATGCTGCTTGTTCTTGAGTCTGATGCCATCCACTCTAAGGAAGCTAGTGAAGGCGATTGATAATGACGAAGAAGTAGAGCAATAATTATTTGAATTAATTTTAGATTGTGAACTTGTATTAATATATTTTTTTAATGTACCGTAAATTTCCATTTTAGCATCTATTTTGTCAACTTCATTCATTTTTTTAAACATGGGCAAAATACTCATCAAAAAATGATAGTCACCATCAGTTTCGTTATTTTTATTTAAATTTTTCTGAATACGTGTTTCTAAACGAGCCTCAAAAAGTTTAATTTTTTTTTCTACCTCCAAAGCTTCTTCTTGAAATGTTTTACGTTTATTTGAAATAGGAGTGATTGGTTTTAGAATATCTAAATTTTTAAGTGTTTCTGGGAGTGATTCAATTTGGTCATCGGGATTTTCAGTATCATCATAGTTTTCTATCAACGTTATATCTTTTTGAATATTTGATGAGGTCTTTCTTGGCACCATCACATCTTTTAAAAACAACATTCGTTCATAATACGGCCACTTACTCTTATAAGCCTCATCCGTACCTTTACCCGATGATTTTATCGACTTATTGAATTCTCTTCTAAAAATGTCTCTAGTGTTTTCCCATTTCTCTTTTGCCTCGTTGTCTGCGCAAAATACAATTTTTTTACGAAGTTAATAATTTTATTATTTAATAATAATAATATTTTGACTGAATGTTTATATGAGCCAATTCTATATACCATACAGTTTTCAAAATATTTTGACTTATTTTGAGCTGTTTACAGACATTTTCAGTTTCTAAAATCTAAAATTTAAATTATCTATAAATAGCTCAAAAAAAGTGTAAGTATTTTGAAAATTTAAGCATGTACATGACATTTGGAAAACTACTGGGACTTTTGACTTCTGTCTTCTGACCCTCAAACTAGGTACGATTATTTAGTATAAAATATGTATTATAATAATATTATAAGTAATATGTATTATTATTATTATATAATTATAATACTTATTTCAGATTTTTGTCAACTGGTATGTCATTTCGAGCTTTAGAATTTTCATTTAAGCGACATCATTACACCATTGGTAAAATCGTTAAAGATGTTTGTGTTGCAATATGGAATCAACTTTTTACCAAACATATGCCGATTTCCAATAAAGAAGACTATTTAAAAATATCATCAACATTTGAAGTACTATAGAATTTCCCGCATGTTGTTGGTTGCTTGGATGGAAAACATCTACGGGTAAAGTGTCCAGAAAAGTCTGGCAGTATGTTTTTCAATTACAAAGGCTATTATTCAATTATATTACAAGGAGTTGCAGATGTAACAAACCGACTACGTCCGTTTGTTGGTGTTGTAAAATAAATAAGAAGAGTTGTTCTTTTCTTTATAAATTAAATACTTTATTTGATTATAACAAAAACAATAAATTTTCTAAGTCCAAATTGACTATAATTAAAGAATGGGGACTAGCGAGATGTGACTGTCACACTCCTAGCTCCTAGCTCGTCGTTGGTGTTGGCCCGTCTGCCGAAGCCTATTCGAGCGACGTATTTTATAATGGCGATCCTTGGATCGTATCCCTGCTTAGTATCCTACTACTTTACCATATAAGGTCATACCGTGGGCGGCCACGCGCTGCCCATACCGGATGTCCCTTGTCTATCTGGTCGTTGTCATCTCTGTTGAGGCAACACAACGCCTTTGATGTGAACTATTTTAATAATATTCATATGAGCAGTGATATATTTGTGAACATATACGTTTCGAGGTCACGCGCAATGATTTATAAAAAATAGGCGCTTTGTAGGCCTCCTCCAACTAATATATACATATATATAGTTCTTCTTATTCTTTGAAGTGACATTGTGTGTTTCACATGTTTATTTATAACTACCTGAGGGATTTACTAATTATAAGTCATAGTCACAGCCACTGAACTAAATACATGGAACGCGTATTGTGTATAATCCTCGTATATGAAAAATGAGCCAATATGCTTGCCACCATATGCATTCCGTTTGATTTTTCACATAGTTGTAACCAACTTCAATTAGTGACAAAAACAGTAACCTTTTTTCGGAGCTAACATAATTAGTATAAAATCATAATAAATAATAATTATATTCATATTAACTATTAAGCATGTTTTAATTAATGTTTTTATTTTTATTTTTTAATTCTCATGAACTACTCAAGTAAGTGGCTAAATCTTAATTATTACTTATTACTATTTACATAACGTAATTGCCTAATTACTATACGTTTTTTTTTACACATTTTGAAAAATTGCTAACCTTGACAGTATTTTCCTT